TCTGGTTTATTACAACTCTTATCATCTTAAATTAAGCCAGTCATTTGAGCTATTTGTCGTGATATTATCACCAAAATAAATGCTGCACGTAATAAAGGGAATATTCAGTTTCTACAACCATATGAAAGAGACAATTTAAAATGATTATTTATAACTTTTACAATTATTTACACAAGCTGACCTCTGTTGCTTATTTGTGTACTTTTATGTATTTATTACATCTATTAGTACTTTTGTATTTTTTAGTAGACCATTTTCTTCAGGTGTATTTCATAATATCACATACTTACCTGAACAGGTATGGCGTGCTAAATAATTCACAGTGACACATTTTTTGGTGGGAAATCTAGAAATAAAGAAAAAAAGTCAAATGCATCTTAAGTTTTCTTTATTACACTCATTTAAATGTGGGGAAATAATGATGATTTAGGAGCGTGTGGATTATTCAAACACTATTACCATGTGTATTTTTAACATGATAAACACTATTTTATTCTGTAAGCCTTTTCGTTGATACCGTTTTATCCAGACACATTTCATTATTTGTGTTTAATAAAGCAAAAACCCCATATGGTTGAATAATATCAACATTTAACTTCCCAGTGGAGCTCTGTTGTCTCACTTTAAAACAAGGATTTGTGTCTTTGAGTGAACCTTTGTGGTGTTAGAGTGGAAGTCACCCATTGAGCTCGACCTCTCACCTGTCCTGTGCGCGCCCAGGTGAGGTCATTCCAGGTGAGTGCCGTCCCCTCTCTCTCAGAGTGTCCTCTCAATGGGATAAACCTCAGGAATGTCAAGCACAAGAATAAAGGCAAAGAGAGGAAAGTCCAGATTAAAGGAGGAACGAGAGGGGAGGAAGAGGGCAACCCTTTTTCCATTAGTCCTGCTCCAGTCGCTCTGACGTGTTTTTATGAGCCATTTATTCATTATGGAATCATTTATTATTCCCTCAGCTAACATACGTTGTATTATTAAGTTCAGTCTGTTCCATCTGTGATGTTGCATTCATTCATTCATCAAGTTCGCATTTAAATATGATCATATTTATTATCAGAGGTCCTAATTCATGGTCTCATGCTCTAAAGGCAGATTCGCTTACCATTTGGATTAGAAGACTAATATTAAGATATATTAGATAACACATTGAAATAAAATCTTGAGATTGAACAAATACTTAAGCCTGACATTTGGTTGTATCACTGTAAACTGTTTCCTTATCTTCGAATGTTTAAAACCAAATTAGTAATTGAATGCAGTCGTGTTTCCTTTAAGCCCGCGTCACACTGTCCCGACATTGACACCAGATGGACACACGAATATGGAATTGTGAATTTCGCACGAAGATGTCCCCGAACTTGCTCAACGGCCAAGCAACAGCCGAAGCAAGTACGATGCCTACAGAAGGCCACACGATGGCACCCGAACCACACACTCCGTCATGTTGTTTCCATAGCAACACCAACTTCCTGTCAACAGCGTAAACTCGCCTTCAAAATAAAAGCATCTAAATAAAACAGGAAGTTAACCTAAATTACATTTAAGACATACAACTGCAACGAAAGTCACAAAAACAATGTAATATCCCTTTCAGTTTCACAGAACACAAATTGTACTATAATACGATGGCTACACGGCGGCATTGCGACGGCTTCACGTAGTCGTGTTGCCTTCCTAAGACAATCGGGCAGCTTCTTGTTTCCTTCGTATTGTCTTTGTGAGGCGAAAAATGCCCGATGGCACCGATGATCACACGAAGTTGACACGATTAGACAAGATGCACTCATGATGGCCTTACGAAGGGCAAAATGGACACACGAATTCAACACGAAAATGAACCTTCGCAAGGTCTGTCGGCAATTATTTTGGCATGCCAAAGATTTTCCCACCGCTCACGAAGTTGCTGCCGGAGCCTGAGAAACTCCACCGGCGGTCATACGATGGCTTAAGATGCCCTCACGAATGGCCCGATGTTGTTACGATCAGAGCCGAATTAGAACATTTCCTTTATCGTGTGTTCATCTGGTGTCAATTTCGGGACAGTGTGACGCTGGCTTTATGGCTCTGAGTGTTGTTGACAATACTGCAGACAACCTTTAAACCTCCAGTAATCAGAGAATAAGAACGACAACAAATCATAAGGTGTTTGCTGCTGTTCATTAAAGCATACATTTAAATTAAAACGTAAATTAGAGCGTCGTTGAATTAAATTATACAATATGATTTTTGTTTCATCTTGACAGCTTAGAGGTCACTTTTTAGCTAACTTGTAGCATCAAGCTATAAAAAGGGGTGGAAAATCTAAGGAGAATTTGGGGTAAAGATTTTAAAAAAGCCAAATCCAGTGACTGAAAGCAGCCGTCATCCAAATTGTTATGCACCCGTTTTCGCTACATCTCATTAGTTAAGAGTCACTCATCTTTTCTGCATGAGACCTTCAAATATGTAACCGAATACCACAAAACCTAAGACCTATTTGTCACCTGTCACATTATCCCAGATTATGAGATTATCCAGCTGAGGTACAAAGTGCAAAGAGCCTAAAAAAATGTAAAAAATGTGCGGCTGCCTATCAGAAAACAGGACTTTCCTCCTTCCCAGGAAACATGATTTAGACGGGAGGAATTCCTCTGACAGCAGCTGTAGACGCCTATAATCATTTATGTGGAGTAAATAAAGTGAGTGTT